GCCACTGGCGGACCGTACATTGCTTGAAAGTTATTGCTAACAAACTGGGATCCCAGAGATCTGTAGACGATAAACAAGCCATCATCTCCATGGTAACCGTGGCTCCACTCTTCAATGCACAGAATGGCAAGTACATTTCCTCCTCTCATTCATTTCTCACTGTTTCTTACAACCTGGGGGTCCAGTATGATCTGAGCATTAATGACCAAACACACTGAGATTCCAAAGTTAAAAGTATATAGTCTTACTGTTTCTGGGAAAGACGCGTGTTTTACTGCTGTCCTTGTAAATCACAGGTGACCACTGAACTTTAGAAACGATAATTTCTCCACTTCTTTTAATTTCTACTACAGGAATAAGATTTAGGCATACGCCATTAGTCCCAGCATTCAGGACAGAGGCAGGAGGATCTCTGTGAGTTCGAGGTCAGCCTGATCTATGAGTCTAGTCCAGGACAGCCAAGACTACACAGAGAAACTGTCTCAAAAATGAAAAAAAAAAAAAAAAAGATTTAAAATAAAGACTAACAAAGTAACCATCAACCAATGAATAGAGTGCATTTACCTGGCAAGAAAAAAAATCCATTTATGGAACAGCTCCTGGAACTTAAGCCCCTGGCATTTTATATACACCAAGATGTATTCTGTCTCCGCAGAGATTTTTTTTTCAATAATTTATTTAATTTTATGTGCATTAGTATAAGGGTATCAGATCCCTTGGAAGTGAAGTTACAGAGAGTTGTGAGCTGCCATGTGGGTGCTGGGAGTTGAACCCAGGTCCTTTGAAAGCACAGACAGTGCTCTTAACCACTGAGTCATCTCTCCGAGCCCCTCCACGGAGATCTTAACCTGTCTCCAGATGCTTCTCTTTTCTAGATCACCCCCACAGTCCTGGTCTACTGGTTAGAAAAGGGACCAAGTCCTAGAATCATAAACAAATGAATGAAGTAGACTAGAAAAGAAACCACAGCAGAATGAAGCCCTACAATGAACTGAAGAATCCTATGCTCTAATCTCATCACTCATTTTCCCAAATTTTCCTCTCTGCTTCATCATTCTCCAAATTAAGGAAACTTTACTTGGGGCTGGGATATGGTGGCACATGCCTTTAATCCTTTAACACTTGGGAACCAGCGTGAGTTCCAGAACAGCCAGAGCTGTTAGATACAGAAACCCTGTCAAAAAAAGAATTGAAAAAAAAAAAAAAAAAAAGGAAGAAAGAAAACTTTACTTGGCAAATAAACTTTCTAGAAGTTCTTCCTTTCCTCCTTCTAAACTTGTAGGGTAGGGCTGGGGTTGTGGCTCTGTGGTAGAATACTTGTCTGGCACCCATGAGCCTATACTATAGATCCATGGTTGTAATGATGATAATAACATTGCTAAGTGAGTCCAGGAACATAGCATGTTTCTAATACTTTTCTCCTTTGAACTCATTGAGTTAGCTTGGGACTGCAAGCTCTTGAGAAGTTTCCATATGCCTTTCAAATCTGTCTTCACATGCAAAATGAAAATAACATCATTAACCGATTTTGTCTGATAAGGCATTGTATCTGATTTGCAGCTCAGCCTGGGTTCACCATCCCGTTCACAGCCTTCCCCTGAATCTGAGGCCCATACTTTGTCTGCAAAGTCTGAGAGCAAATATGTGTCTGATCCCAACCTGTGGGAATACTTCTACCCCTGAGGAAGGTGATCAATTTGTCTAATAAGCTTATGATCCAGCCAAGCCACTGAAATGCAACTGAGACTTTTGTTAACAATGAGGTTTTCAGAAGCAGAGGCATGAAGATCGCTGTGAGGACAGACAGCCTGAGTCCAGAACAGCCAAGCTACACAGAGAAACCCTGTCTCCAAAAACAAAAAAAAACCAACCAAAAAAAAAATATTTTTTCCTGCTATCTCCCTACGGATATGACATGACAAGATGTAGCTCCAAAGCCAGTGAGTCATTTTACACGGAGAGAATGTGTCTGAAAATGGAGTCCCTCAGGATCAGAAGAGAAAAAACAAAAGCTGGTCTCACAGAATGAGTTATTATATGGTGGGTTGAACTAAATGAAATTGCCAATGTTTGGTCATCTCTGCCAAGATAAATGGAATAGACAAATGTCTGTATTTTTTCACTTAAGGATTTCAACACATTTCCTTGGCTTCCATCGGTTTAATGTAGTGTTGATCCTCAATACAATTTCTGAATAATACGCAAAGTCTTGCCAGCCACTCTTAGAGGTTTAATTGATTTGTCTTGGTAGTGGATCGAACCCAAGGCTTTGGGCTTGCTACACCAATGTCCTACCATTTAGCTGCAAAAGTCATTAAATTCAATTTCTAAAAACAACGCTGATGGATACAGTCTATAAGCTATTTCCCACTCATTGCCTAATTTACTCCATATAATTATTGTCACTCTGGAGGCCAGGCTGGCCTCGAACTCACAGAGATCTGCTGCCTCTGCACCCTGAGTGCTGAGATTAAAAGCTTGTGCCATCACCACCCAGCTCTAGACAACCATTCTACGAAATAGATGTGAGCCCATTTTACAGACAAGAAAAGTGTCCCAGGGCAGCTCAAGCAGTTATATTGGATCTCCTGGGAGAAGAAGGAAGAGGAGGAGGATTCAAAGAGTCTCAATCCAAAACTCCCCAGCATGGCCCACTTCTCTGCGTGGACCTCTCTAGAACATGAGTCACAAAAGCAAACTTGGCATTTCAGGACAAACCACTACTAACCATTTTCAAATAGAAACCCAAATCTGACCCTGAAGCGTGTCAAATCTTCCTTAAACCAGAGAGGTCCTGGGAAGGGTAATTGGAAACCACAGAATGACTATCTCAAAGCCTTGCAGTGGAGTCAAAGTATTTTAATTGTGAAACCCAGACTCCTCTCCTGGCTACCAACTCACCAGTACACTATGGGCTTGTAAGGGAAGTAGCAATTCCTTTTATTTCTTTAAGATCACCGACCTCAGGTAGCCCAGGCTGACTTGGAATTCCCATGTAGCTGAACGTCTGATTCACTGCCACCACCTTTAATCCAGTACTTGGGCAGCAGGTAGATCTCTGAGTTTGAGGCAAGCCTGGTCTACAAAGTGAATCCCGGGTGAGGCAAGGCTACACCGTCTTTTGAAAATCCCTGTCTTTCAAAACCAGGCGGTGAGGAGAGACATACTCTAAATAGCTGTCTTTAATCCCAGTACAGAGAGTCAGGTGTGTGCTCCAGGCCAGCCAAGGCTATATAGTGAGACCCTGTCTCAAGAGATTACATGGAAAAACAGTTCCCCACACATGGCTCCAGTTGTTTTGAATTCAGTTCTTTGTGAGCTGAGGATGCATATAGCTCAGAGGTAGGACAGTGCCTCCTACCCAAGGAGTGATCCCTAGAACCAGAATAAATGAAGAAGTGAACATTTTTCTCAGTACCCTATAATTTCTTGTTACCCTATTCTAACTAATAAGACTTAATAGACAAAGCCAGTATGACAATGTTTGTCATACTGTAATACTGAGAATTAACTAGATTCTTAGTATCAATATTTTTAAGCATAATAAATTTTTTATTAAATCTTTTTGGTTTTTTTTTTTTTCTTTTGAGACAGGGTTTCTCTGTGTAGCCTTGGCTCTCCTGGACTCGCTTTGTAGACCAGGATGGCCTCAAATTCATAGAGATCCACCTGCCTCTGCCTCCCAGAGTGCTGAGATTACAGGCATGAGCCACTGTACCCAGATTTATTAATTTTTTTTTTAAAGTCCAGAGTTAGGGTGCTTGTCTAGAGACAATGATTAATCAGAACCTAATGATTACCTTGTCATTTTTAGGACCTAAAAGTTACTTTTTCTAAATCTAAAACCTCAGTTCTATAGCAGTCTACACTACAAAACCCAGAACTTCGGGAATGTGCATTAATGGCACAAGAAATTTTAAAAAAGTGGATCTGAAGATGTGACATCAGCTCTAGACCAAACTCAAGTCCTGAGGCTGTCTTAACCTATGAGGCTGTCTTAGCCTTATCCCTCTTGGCCCTGACATTCCTCCATGGCAGCGGTTCTCAACTTGTTGGTTTCGAACCCTTTGGGGGATCAAGTGACCCTTTCACAGATCACATCAGATATTTACATTGTAACGCATGACAGTAGTAAAGTGGCCGTTATAAAGCAGCAACGACAGCAGTTTTATGGTTGCGGGTCAGCTCAACAGGAGAAACTGCTTTAGAGCCGAGCACTAGGAAGGCTGAGAACCATCGCTCTACGGCCTCTTTGGCACATCCAGCCTCGTTAAAGTTTGCCAAGGTCATCTACTTGCTATTCTTTCCCTCATCTGATAAGTGTGGATCACCTGAAAAGAATCTAAAAGTCTCAACCAAAGAGGGTGGGGACCTCTCAAAAAGCAGATAAGCAAAGAGAGACTGACTCCATCTGGGCTCTGTCACCGACTACCTGCCCTCAGGCCAGGAACTCAACCCCATTCTTTCAAGGCTTTTCAGGGCCTCCCTCCACCCTGCTGGGTTAGCCACCCATCAGTATAAAAACAGAGCACAGACTTAGATACCTAAGGTTCCCTCCGGCTACAAACCTCTCATCAAGTCGAGATGACTGAAGAGTTGAGGCAGAACCCCATTAGAACCAGAAGGAAAAAAAAAAAATTCAAGCAGAGAAAGAGAAGGCCACCCTGAAGTAAAGGCAACAGAAAATAAGGCTCCAAAGACCGGTGTTGGAACGAAAGTGTCGCCTCATTATTACGTGTCCGCTCAAAGTACAATCATCGTAAAAGTTCTAGTTGTTAAAGACATAACCAGATTGTATTGAATTAAAGAATATAAATTTAAGGCGGGTAGTAGGTTCTTTAAGAAAAAAAAAAAAAAAACACTTCAAAATACATTCTAAGATCTAGGAACGCCTCAAAGAACTGAAAGACTGGATGAGACTGAGCCCGACAAATGCCTTCCCAGGTAAAAGTGCCACCACCAAGCCTGACACTTGAGCTGAATCCTGGGACCCGCATTACCCTCCACACGCATTATTACGGCACGGGTGCTCTTACACGTATGAATAACTGTTTTAAAAATAGATCTTTGTGTAGTTGAAAAAGTATTAATGAATATAATTAGGAATAGTCACTAGTTTATTCTCACTGTCTATATCGTTTAGGCTAGGCTAAGCATTTTGCATAATTTACCTTTATATGGTCATAATTCTGAGAAGTTCTCTTAGTGTATCAGCTTTGTAGTTAAAAACCTGGGTGCAGCTGGGCGTGGTGACACACCCCGTTAGTGCCCCTGCACTCAAGAGGCAGAAGCAGGTGGATCTCTGTGAGTTGAGGACAGCCTGGTCTACAGAGTGAGTCCAGTACAGCCAGGACTCTTGTCACATAGAGAAACCCTGTTTGAAAAAAATGAAACAAAAACAAACAAAAAACCTGGGTGTTTTGCCAGGTACGGCAGGGCACTCTTAAATCCTGACTCTAGAAGCCGAGCCAAGAAGATAACAGCAGCCTGAATTGAAATTTCAGGGCAGCCTGGGCTACACATACAGACACTGGCCCATAAAAAATAAAAAAAAATAAAAAAAAAATTAAAATAGTCAACTGTGAAGACTAAGAACGAAAAAACCTGGGTTCCAGTTTAGAGTGAAGAACACCAGGGTGGTGGCTCACGCATTTAATCCCAACTCTTGGGGGGATGAGGGGCAGAGGCAGGCAGATCTAAGCTCCAGACCCACCTAACCTACAGAGCAAGTTCCAGGACAGCCAGGGCTTCAGAGAAAGCCTGTCTCCAAAAAAATGATCAAATAAGACAGCATAAAAACACATTCACATATCATATGTATGCACGTATTCGTGTGTCAGGTGTGTGTGTCCTCAGCCATATAATGTTAGCTACTGCCTTATCTGCTAAAAACTCTCGGAATGCTTCCCAGCTTTTTCATATTACACATGGATAATGACCTAGGGAAATCTAGGCACATGGCATTTGGTGACTTAAGCCGCCAACCCGGGGAAAAGAATGCATGTTCCGGTGAGTGGTTAAAGGGACGTCAGCACAAGAATCGAAGCAAACTTTCCTTCCAGGTAGGGACAAAAACCTGCACCAAAGCCAGGGGCCAGCTATATTTAGCGCGTGATATATAACCCTAAGCGCTGCGACTCTCCCAACCTCACACACACAATAACAGCAAATCCCTTTTCTGCGCTTCCAGCACTTCAGAAAGATGTTCAAAGGGAGAGCTTGTGAGACGTCTTCTCTTACCACCAACCCCCTCCTTCTGGAAAGAGTTTCCAAGCCTGGTGGATTTGCTGGCGCTTCCAAACTTCCCAGGAAGTCTGAGATGGGTGCTGCTCGGAGTGGCTGTATAATTACTTACTTGAATCTCTCTAAGGAGCTTACGTTAAGCATTGAGGAAAGAAAGCAGATTAACCGTTTGAATACACGCCGCTACCCATCCACAAGCCCTCCCCCTCCCTCCCCTATAAACGGGGGCTTCCACAGCCCTCGCCCATCAACCCCAATATGTGATCTGGGGAAATCAATTTATTGCTTTGACTAATCCTGCGACAATAGGGGTTTCATTTTTATTGTAGGGCAATTAAGTTGTCCGACGGGAAAGAGCGGGAGGGGAAAGGGGGCCTGGCCCATCCCCACAGACAGATTAGTCCCCGCGGTGGCAGCAGCGTCCGCTCTGTCTGTCTGGTGGTCGGTCACACGCAGCTCCAGGCTGCTACCTAGCAACGAAAGCCAGGGAGAGAGCTCGCGGGTTCTCCTCGCCATTCCCATTCTCTCTCTCTCTCTTTCTCTCTCTCTCTCTCTCTCTCTCTCTCTCTCTCTCTCACACACACACACACACACACACACTTCTATTCTGAACTCTAAATAATTTTCCCCCTTCCCTCTGCCGTTTTCCCCCAACTCTCGGGACAACCTGGGAAAAGTCTGTAGCCACCCTGGAAACTTTCTGCATTCCAGCCCCCAAGACCCAGCCGCAGCAAACCGGCCCCATTCATCAACACAAAAGCACCCGCTCCAGGCAGGCAAGGGAAAGTCCTCTAGTGTATCAGCCGCTCTCTCCGCCAACCCCACCTCCCCGCCTTATCTGGGCTCGTAAACGATCGGTATCAAGAGGTGCGGTCTCATGGGGGTCACGGAGGGACGGGGTTTTCGCCAAGGCTGGCAGGAGGAGGCTGGGGCCGGCGGCCCCGGGCGCGCGCTGGAATTGGATCTCCCGCGCCCGCGGGACGCGGCAGGTGGAAGGCTGCGCCGGGAGCCGGCGGCGTGGGGGAGCGCCCCGCCCCGGCCGGGAAAGCGCCGGGGGTCGGGGCCAACTCCCGCGGGGACAAAGGCGCGACCGCCGCGGGGCGAGCTGTCACCGAAGCCGGCGCCGCGGCCGTCACCCCGGGGGGGCTCCCGAGCGCTCCTCCGGAGCAGCTCCGCGGGCGCCCACGCTGGCCCCGCGCCCCGTCCGCCTGCGCGCCCGGCGGGGGACGGCCGGCCGCTTACCTTGGCCGCTGACCGCCGCCGGGCAGGCAGCGATGATGGCCAGCAGCAGCATCCACGCCGCCGCGGCCCCGCGCTCCATCCCGGAGGCCGCCCCGGGCCTCGCCGTTCCTTCCCCGGGAGGTGGGCGCGCGTCGCAGCCGGCGCGGGCGGTCAGCTCGGCTCGGGGACGCGCCTCTCGCTCGGCACCTCCGCTGGCCCCTAGAGGCAGAAAGCCGGCCCCGGTCCCCGAGGCATCCCGTTTTCTACCCGCGCCAGTCCCCACCCTCCAGACACTGCATAAAGCCCTTGAGACCAGACCGCCCCGGAACTAGCATGCGGGAATCCAGCGGGCCGGGCCCCCTGCTGCCCGGCCCGCCCTCTGCACTTTGCGGCTCCGGGAGGAGTGGGCACTCGAACGCTGCTGGCCCGACGGCGCAAGCACGCTCCGCGCGCGCGCGCGCCTCTCCGCGCTCTCCTCCTGGAGCGCAGGACCCCGGGCGCACACGCTGGCCGCCGGCCCCGCGCGCTGCAGGGCGCACACCCCTCCCTGGCGCGCTCCGCGGTCACAGTCCATCACGGGCGATCGCGGCCGCTCGCACACCGGCGAGCGCTTGCCCTCGCCGCTCAGAGGGCTGGCCAGGGCCGCGAGGAAAGACTCGGTCACCTGCACGAACTCTAGAACTCCGCCAGCCGTGGAAAGGAATGGAGAAGGGGGAAAGTCACGAGTAGCTACTAGAAAACAAGCAAACGAACAAACAAATACATACATACATACATACATACATACATACATACATACATACATACATACATACATACATAAATAGATGGTGGAAAGGGGAGGGAAAGGTAGAGAGGAAGGAAAGAAAAGGGGGGAAGGGAAGAGAGGAGAAAAAAGAGCTGAGGGTGTGTTGTGCACGCTTTTCATCCCAACTGTCAGGAGGCAGAGGCAAGTGGATCTCTGTGAGTTCGAGACCAGCCTGTTGCACAGAGTGAGTTCCAGGACAGCCAGGGCTATTTAGAGAAAACATATCTCAAAAAGGAGAAGGAGGGAGGGAGGGAGGGAGGAAAGAGTGAGAGAGGGAGGGAGGAAGGAAGAGAAAGGAAGGAGAAGGAGGAGGAAGGAAGGAAGGAAGGAAGGAAGGAAGGAAGGAAGGAAGGAAGG